CGTGGCTGCGCACCATAGATGTCGTTAAATTCAATATACGGAATAAGAAGGATATGCCCACTTTGTTCTGATTATTACTACAGGGCGCCATCGCGTATATGCCTCGAGTGTCACCTTCCGATAGGTCAGAAACTACAAACATCGCGAATTATATTTGTCATAACCTGCGCTGAAACGCGTGTTATCTAAATCTCTAACTTTATTCTATATTAACGATTTTTGTATATAGACAAGACATTCTAAGTTTATGCCTACCACTGTATATGTACTCTCTGATAATAATAAACTATAATAAAATATTATATCCTGTTATCGTTCTTTAACCTTAACAAAACAATATACCATTGATCATGTAATGTCGATCGACGAAAGATATAAATCTCACAAAAGACATACGCTTTATTCGTCTCGGTTAAGAAACCATAAAGCGAGAAAGAGTTGTACAGAAGACGTAGTTGGTATTTTTCGGGTCGTCGACAAAGTGTTAATAATGTAAGCGTTTGAACAAGCGTGAAGTTCCATTTGCGGCCGACTTTCCTGGAAGAACTTGTTAAGGAAGGAATTTATCGGTACGTTTCACGGGCCCTTGTTCGCCGCTTTGCTTTTACTGCAAAGCAAATATAGGGAAATGGTACGCGAGCCGATGGCACGTCGGAAGGGAGGATCCAGTTTGTGAGAATGTGTCTGCGGTTAATCACAAGCTTTCCAGGTCAGATACGCGACGTCTGTTAAACATTGACTCGCTGATACGGTTTTATTTCCCGTAACTCAAGCTCCACCTTGCAACTAAGCAAACCAGATACGTACCACGCGAATTTCGAATCGGGGTGGTTTTATCTCGCAATTTACGACGCGCTTCTGGTGCAGATACTCGCACGTTTCCCGTCAGTTATTTGAGAACTACTAATCGCTATTTGTCCAACCGACTACTACGTTCGCGTTGGCCGATCGAATTACACGGTAATTAATACCTGTTGATTGTTTTGCGTAAATCGATACGTTTCGTGTGCCCAAAAAATCTAGACGTTCCAGTGGGTCTCTTTGGAAATAAAAATGGCCGTCGTGTTCTTAAGACGCAGAGGTTAACGCGACGCACGTATTCCGTTACGCTTTTCACGCGCGTAACGCGGCGCCAGCATGGACACAGTACACTCGATTGTTTCTCTCGAATATTTTCTTTCGAAAAGAGAAAGCTGACCCTTTCGAGAAGAGTTCGCTTCGCGTTACCTTATACCTTTCTGGGTTACCGGATCCGCGAACGAGAAAGACGATATCGATGCAAAAACTTCGACAGCGCAGATAGCGGCTAACCTCGAAAATCGTGTGCCGCTGAGCAGAGACTTTTACGCAGATTCTGTCGCTAGGAAACGTCGCCAATTAGCATGTCAAACGTTTTCAACGATTTACATTCGTATTTGATCGAAAGCTTGGGCCATTGATCAAGATTGTTGTAAAATATTTCGAATTAATTCGAACGATACGAGTGTATCGGGGACAGACGCGACGGAATGTGTCTATCCTTTGTGTCGCGATGTGTATATCCTATGACCTAGGGCGAGAACCTTGGATACATTGCGCTTTCTTCGCGCTGGCGTGTCGTGTAATACGAAGACAGACGGTATATACAGGGTGTTCGACTACCCCTGGGAAAAATTTTAATGGGATATTCTGGAGGCCAGAATACCACAAAAATTAAGAATTTTGTTGATGGAGGCTTCGTTAAAAAGTTATTAACGTTTAAGGTTCCAACCGTACTGAATTTTTTTCTCGAAAATGCGCACGATTTCGGGGGTATGGCTGTTCACCAAAAATAATTGTAATCAACCCCTGCAACCGAAAATAATTTTTCCAGAACGATTTGGAATTTTTCAATTTTGTCGAAAAATTACACACCTAATCGAATTTTTTTCTCGAAAGTGGGTAGGATTTTGAGGGTATGTCTATTCACAAAAAATGATTGTAATTGACCCCCGGAATCGAAAATAATTTTTCCAGAACGATTTGGAACTTTTGAATTTTGTCGAAAAATTTCACACCTTCTCGAATTTTTTCCTTAAACGTGGGTAGGATTTCGAGGATATGTCTAATGACTAAAAATTATTGTGAGTGACCCCCACAAACGAAAATAATTTTTTTAGAACGATTTGACAAAAATTTTTTTTCACCGAAAATTTCAGCACCTACCCCCTGTCGATTTTTCGTAAAATTCGTTTTTCATTTTTAGTAATTTTGTTTGACGTGCTACGGAACAGTTGCCTAATACTTTTCTATAGGTACGCATGAGCTCTACTTCAGACAAAAGTTTCATTGAAATTTATTCATTATTGTAAGAGTTATGGCTGTTTGAAAATTGGACCATTTGTTATGGGGTTTTTCTTATTTTGCGGGGTCAAGGACCAACTTTTCGAATATTGTTAGAATTTCTATATATTCTTGACCAAAATACACGTTGTTTGCCGTTTGAAACATTAAAATCGGCCAATCCGTTCAGGAGTTATGACATTTTAAAGATTCGCATGAAATTTCAGGGATGCCCCACATTGGATTTTCGGTAAAGATTTTTTTTCTCGAAAATGTGTAGGATTTCGGGGGTATGTGTAATGACCAACAATGATTGTAATTGACCCCCGCAACTGAAAGTAATTTTTTCAGAACGATTTGAAATTTTTTAATTTTCTCCTAAAGTTTCACACCTACTCGAATTTTTTTCTCGAAACTGGGTAGGATTTCGGATATATGTCTATCCACAAAAAATAATTGTAATCGACCCCTGCAACCGAAAATAATTTTTCCAGAACGATTTGAAATTTTTGAATTTTGTCGAAAAATGTCACACCTACTCGAATTTTTTTCTCGAAACTGGGTAGGATTTCGGATATATGTCTATCCACAAAAAATAATTGTAATCGACCCCTGCAACCGAAAATAATTTTTCCAGAACGATTTGAAATTTTTGAATTTTGTCGAAAAATGTCACACCTACTCGAATTTTTTTCTCGAAACTGGGTAGGATTTCGGATATATGTCTATCCACAAAAAATAATTGTAATCGACCCCTGCAACCGAAAATAATTTTTCCAGAACGATTTGAAATTTTTGAATTTTGTCGAAAAATGTCACACCTACTCGAATTTTTTTCTCGAAACTGGGTAGGATTTCGGATATATGTCTATTCACCAAAAATGTTTGTAATTGACCCCTCAAACTAAAAACAATTTTTTTAGAACGATTTGAAACGTTTCAATTTCTTCGAAAAATTTGTCTACTTTTCGAATTTTTTTCTCGAAACTGGGTAGGATTTCGAGGGTGTGTCTATTCACCAAAAATGTTTGTAACTGACCCCCGGAACCGAAAATAATTTTTCCAGAATGATTTGAAATTTTTGAATTTAATTGTTAATAACTTTTTAACAAAGCCTCAGTTAGGAAATTGATATTCTCGATTTTCGTCTTATTTGGGCCTCTAGAATCTCCCATTAAAATTGTTCCCAGGGGTGGCCGAACACCCTGTATATAACGTGTACGCGCGAGCGAGGGAAAAAACGGAAGCTGAAAAGAGAGGATAGCACGCCAGTGACCGAAAGACGAAAAAAAGACAAGGAAAGAATAACACGGGGACCGGTGCATGTTCTCTACGCATGCCACGTGTTTTACCACCTGCCTTGGCTAGGCGCTCGATAATGCAGAAAAATATACGCACGAAACGTTTAAATACACGGCTACCGGCGAGAACGTTTCCGCGGAACAACGTCTCGTTATCAGAATTTCGCGACATCCGGCGACACGAACGTTGTCGCGAATCGTTTCATCGAACGGCGATCGTAATTAATCAGTCTGGATATTTAACGTTCGAATATCTGTATACTACTTCTGAGTTTTACCAACATCGACGAATCCTGCATTCCTGTTACGCCGCGGATCGTGGAGCGTCGAAACGTGTGGGAGAATAAGAACGTTACGAGAGAACTTGTACACGAGGGAAACGAGTTTCTCGCGCAAACTGTTTGATTCTGCCGCTCGATGTTCGATCAGTTCGTGACCGGGGTTAAATACCTTCGAACGGAACGAGAAATCCGATCGAGGCGCAACGTTGACCTTCGATCGCTGGCGTATTGTACATTTAATCGAAGCTCCAACGCGGGTATCGAACGACGTAATCGTAGCCACGATTTAAATAACGTGACATAATCGGCAACGGTCTTAATTTATGTTTATCGTTGGAACCTCGACGAGCAGAGATTAACGAGAAGCCTCGAACAGCCTCGTGAAACGAAGTTTACGAGAACGAGAACAAATATGCTCACCTTTTTCTGCCAAACTGCATATCGTTCAATGGTGCATCGTTCGCTGAAGACCGCCCGGTCCAAGAATATAGTCACGGGCACGCGAATTACAACGAGTCGCCGACACTCGGCAACATCGATCGTATAACAAAGATTCGCAACCTCTAAGGGAGAGGACGTATCGAAGACTGTGTGTCAAAGCACGAACGCTTTTCGTGAACTGTCTGGCCGACGCGAAGGACGCGACCCGTTGTCTGTCACGTTCCCTGTGTCGTTTATTGTTTACACACAATGCTTGACAGCAGAGGCTTAGATCTCACGTCGACGAATTATGGGTCATTCGGTACAAATTCACATCGCAGGGTAATTTTTCACGCGAGAATTAGGGTTAATGGCCACGTTAACGACATCTGTTGAGAGGACGTTGCACCATACCGTTCTATGCTATACCGCAACAATTAATTTTACAATTGCACACATTTTAACTTAAAATTACAGATTCTAATCTAAATTTCGTTATTTCGCATTTCTACCATTCCATATTACTTAATATTAAAATAGTCACCTACAATGATACATTACGTCGATAAATATTGCTCGATTCGTAATAACGTAATGTTTGTTACTAATTATAATTTTTATTCGCGACAGTTGCTTTTCTATACTTTTGTCCTTTCGTTAGGAACGTAATGTTCGCGATTGAACAATTCTCGTCCTGCGTTCCAGCGAGGAAGTGTCGTCTGTCCGAGTTCCCGCGCAAAATTTCTTTTTCTTGTAACTATTTCTCTTGTTCAGTGTTATCGAACAATCGAATATGAAATTTAGATGCAGAATGGTGAACGTTATCGCTATGAGAGATTTTACAAGTGAGTTTGAGATCGAAGCATAATTTCTAACCTTTCTCAACGTGTCCTTGAACGTAACGTGGTTATTTTACAACACGAAGGATAGTCTCGTATCGTGCAGTAACGACAAATATGTTTCGCGATCACGTCAAGTATAAATTCAACGATTGAAACTTATTTATAATATATCTTTTATTCGAGATAAGCTGTCGAGACAGCATGCAAAATTGTAATAATATAAAAGAACGATTTTTTTATTCCAGACGTTGTTAACATTATTTCTCGATTAACACGTCAGTGCACCTTACGATTATCACCGAACGAATTATGCTTCAACGTCGGCGACGATCGGTCGTCGAGGGTATGGGCAGAACTGAATCAACAGCATTTCTTCACCGAATACATTATGCACGGCGTAACCGAAGAACAGAACGAAATTTATTTAAAATTCGACGCGACCATGTTGGCCAAGTCGTTGAATCCTTTACGAGCGATCGCGAAAAGCGTAAAAATCAAATTGACGAACAAACGACAACCTTGTTTGACGTTGGAGATCGAATTGCCGTCGTTGAGTATAGAATCCCAACAATGTTTGCACGATGTACCGGTTAAGGTTATACCGCGACGAGATTGGCCGGAATATCAAGCACCGAATATACTGGAATTCGACGTACGCAACCGTTTCGATGATACATCCTATTTTTATTTTATTTCTGTATAATTTAAATTATATTTCCGTCGTTTTTAGATATCGGTGAACATGCCACAACTGAAATACGTGAGAAGCATCGTGGAGAGAATGAAGAACATGAGTCCGCGATTGACGTTAAGCGCCGACAAGTGTGGCATGTTCGTGCTTGAGATCGATGCGAACAGCGCGACGGTTTCCACGCATTTTCAGGACCTCCAAGTGTGGAGTTGCAGCCAAAACGAAGACATCGACAAAGTGTCGGCAACCGTGGACATTAAAAAGTTTCATATGTTTCTGGCATGGGACATCGTGCACCCGGATAGTGTAAAATGTAATATACTTCAAGATAAGATGGTAAACTTGTACTTACAGTTGGCGGATTATCTTAAGATACAGTATTTCATTCCTTCGATAGCTACCTGAGCAATTGTTTGTAACGGGTGTTATTCTTATACAATGTACATATTATATTTTTTTTTACGCGACTCGCGCCGCGCGTTTCATTTTTCTTAACGCATAAAAACAAACGGTACGGTTACAAAAAAATTGGGCGAATTAAAATTATTTATACGCTAGGTTGAAACTTTGTTCGTTTTCCTGTTTGATGTTTTGATGCAGCTGATCGATTTGTTGTATCTTCTGATTGAGCAGGCTCGTCTGTTGGTGCAACCACTGCAAACTGTTCATGTGCGCGTTCAATATCTTACCAATTTGAACGATCGGATCGCTGGAGTCTTGCGTGCGGTTAGCTTGATTCAAATGTTCGATGATCTCCTTCAGATCTTCCGACATACGTTTCAGTTGCGTGTCGAGATCTTCCGCCAAGCGATACGTGTATTCTCTTTCCGGATCGGAAACCGGAAGTGACGCCAGTTCCTTCTCCAATGGTACTAAAAAGTCCTCCAATTCTTTTTGCTGGCCAACCTGTGTGGGATCATTAGATATTTACGACACAAAGCTTACGAGTCACATTCGCTTCAACGATATAGTAATACGCTTACAACATAGTCCAATTCATGCTCCAATTGTTGCTGTTCGATCTTCACTCTTTCGACCTCTTGATTAAGGGCTACTATTTTTTCTCCGTTGGATATAAGCAACTTATCCCAAGCATTAACTTGTGCAGCCTGGTTAACGAATACTTTCTCCTGCTCCTCTAATTCTAAAGTCCATTTGTTGATCGACTCTTCGAACGAGTTTATGGATGCCGGCGGATTCACGCTTGCAGATGAACTAACACTGTAATATATTACCTTTTAATAGGAAAGCGAAACACCTGTATTTAACCGAAAAAACATATATTTACGTAGTAGTCGTTCCTAATGATAACTGAGCACTTGAGGTCGTAAGGCTCGGGGCAGCAGAAGTTTTGTTTAACGAGAATCCCGTGGCCGCGGAAGTTGTTCCCGTCGTGTTCAACGAGAAACCTATGAAAGATGTTGGAATGGTTATGCAATTACATCGTAATTACATCGTATCGATGCAGTGATTGATACAAACATGAATACCTGTTGCCGAAGTCGTCGTGGTCGATGTTGTCGTCGCGGTAGACGCTGCACCGAGTGTAAATCCTGTTCCTGTTGTCATTGTATTCGGTGTACCAAACGTTAGACCCGTTGTTCCAGCGGAGGAGGTGGCTTCACCGCCTCCCAAGGAGAATCCACTGGTGAGGGGCTTGGCTACAAAACCTGACGTAGGTACAGCCGCCGTCGTAGCCGCTGTAGAACTTCCTAAACTAAAACCTAGGGTACTTCCAGCTGGAGTTGCTGCCGAGAATCCTGTGGGCGCCACTGTACTGGTAGCACCGGGAGTTACACCGGTACTTGCAACCGTACCCGTGCCAAAGGTCAAACCGGGTGTTTGTTGAGTCGTGGCGATCGAAGGAGCCACGGGTGGTGTTCCAAAACCAAATCCTGTACCTTGCGCGGTGGTTGTACTTAATACGGTGCCAAACATACTACCGGGTTTATTTTGCACCGGTGTCGATGTCTGCAAAAACCCTGTTGGTTTCCCTGCATCTCCAGCACCGGTCGCTCCAAACGTAAAAGCTGTTAGAAGCAGGCACGATCAAAGAATAATCTTATTTTTTGTTAGAAGGGATTTTCTTTCACAATTTTGTAGGTTATGACATCCTTATTTTCTTTGGTCAGACGTATGTATATATATAACATATTTGTACGGGATCAAAAAATTGTACTAATCGTAGTAAAGCAACTGTATTTTCAACATTAAACAATATTCAAACTTACTTGTGCTTGGAGAATTAGTCGCGCAAGTAGTAATGGCCGGTTGATTTGAAGCTTGGAATGTGAAACTCATTTTTGTTTTTTACGTGTATTGCAGCTGCACAGTAATGTATATTTAAATTATGATCGAGCAACTTCCGAACACGTTAAATCTTTTTTTACAAGTTTTAGCTGTCATCCATCGTGTATCATGGTTTGACGTTTTGTAAATAAAAAAGGAAAATTAACCTTGTTGGTCACAGAGGTCTTCGAACACAAAATATATGTCCAACCAGCGTGATGTTAAGGTCGAACGGTAAACTATTTTAAAACTATGTGGTCACAACGTTTGTATTTAACCTAACTTCGATTATCTTGGCAATTGAAATCAAATTGTTCTAACAGCGTATCCGCAAAACACGTTTCGCCGTTTCCAACAACCAATCCGCGTACCAGAAGCAGCGAACATAGTCGAACGCAGTGCACTCTATTGGAGAGCACTGCACTAACGGATGGCATCATGGGGACGAGTCGTTCGTTGAAAACTACCCTCTAGCTTTCGAAATATGTAAACGGTTTTCTACTTACAATTAAATCTGTACACGTTGAAAATAAAATTTGAATATTAAACATGTGAACATAATCATTTTACGGTTGCGTTAAATTGACGATATTAATCGGGAACTGTTTAACCAACGCGTAATACACGGTACACTCGACCCGGTACGATTAAGAGGTTATAAAACTATTTTCTTTCCTGGAACGAATAACTTTCATCTTTTCTAGTGTATAAAGGCGTGAACGAGCAAAAGTGTGTGCTCTGATAACTACGACCGTCCAAATTGTAGTCGACTTTAGACGAACTAACCTTCATTTCGTATACGAATACAAGCCATTCAAATTCTTGTCATGGCAATGCATCATGATTGACGTTACATTTATTAAGTTTCACCTGTGACATTAATATCGCACGATGAAAACACGCATAATGGCCAAACGGAGTATACACACTCGCATCCAGAATGCGAACGCATTTTTCTAGAACGTTTAACCGGCTCGGTGTCCAAGTCTCGCTCCGGACCGTTGACCGAAACAAAGTTTGTTCACGAAAGTTGAATGCTGCGACCCACGCGATCGTTTATGCTTCGCGGAGGCTCTGCGTCACAGACGAGTCACTCGTACGGTTTAATATTCATCTGATCTTCGTTTGCAACGTTCTGTGCACGTTCTCAGTGGAAAGTAGTGTTGTTTACGTATTCTAAAACACGACGATGCACCGTTAAGGCGTCAAAATTGTACCGTGGGCATCCGTTTTGATGCTGGATTGTAAAGATTCGTGTAGCACCAAGAATAAACGAAAACAGTTCGACTTAAACATCAATTGTGTCTCAAATTAACTCTTGCATCAGTTCCACGCGTTTCTCGCGATCGTGTCGCTTTCGAAGGAAGTGCTCTCGAGGGACCAAATTCATATTACCATTTTCAACAGATTCATGAAATAAACGTTTCTTTCGCGTTTAGTCGTAGAGTGGAGATTGATAAGCAGTTTCTCGTTCATTTTTTTCTTAGAGCATGAATGACCCACAACGATATCGCGGTCGGCACGACGATAACTGACACGATACTTGCTTGCAATTGAAACAAACACATCCGTCCAGTACGCTGTACAATTAAGCGTTTAAGTTTCTTCTCTCGCCGTACTTAAAACATTGTCGCGCGTGAATCGTACGAAATCAAAGTTTTTATCCTTCATGATGTTTCTGTTGGTAAAATTATGCGCGTGCCTCTGTCTGCTACATGTCGTTAGCAGTTCGACATTGACTGCACCCCCGCAATCGGCACTGGTGGTCGCGTTCGAGGACATTTACGATCTGTCGTTGTTAGCCAACACTTTGTCGGATCAAGGGATCGATGCCACGCTGATTATACCGGCGTCCAGCGAGATCGATCTCTACGAGACTTTGATAGACGTGGAAGTGCTGACGGTGGACGTTCGAGTCGAGGCGACCGCGTATCCCGAGAGCAAAGCGATTCAAGCTTGCGAAACGTTGCTGAAGAATAGTCAGATCGCGAAGAAGATACAGGAAATTCAACCCACGTTCGTCATATTTCCTGCACTCAGGTTAGTTTTAATTGTGATTAAATACTAGTCCTTTTATTCTTAATTTAATTCTAACGTCGAATAGAAGGTTACTTCCGGCGAACGAGCCACCTGCTGTTCCATTTGGGAAATAAGAATTTTTTTTTTTTATTTTAGGCACGATGGCTGCTTGATACCGTGGACCAAAAGCATCGAGTCGATCCCGGTGATATGGACGCGTAATTCGGACGAGGAGGTGTACGTGTTCGAGTACACGGGCACGGCGTTGCCGATCCAGAACGGCGGATTTTGGACGAGGCTGCGAACGAGTTTCTCAAGGAGGTCAATATTCTCCGCGGGCCGCGACGAGTACGCGGCGTATGCTCTCCGGATAGCGGGAAAATACTTGCCAGACACCGGTTACAATTTAGAGAATCTTTACGCGGATGTTCGCCTCATACTTCGGGGCGCCGATGTCCTCCTGCGGTCGGACTTTGCCCCCCTCACGCAGCTGATAGTCGAGGTAAGCGGTATGGAAAAACGCTCGACCAGCGCGTCGTCATGCTCCCCTGGTAAAACGTTCTCCAACGTTCGATTTTGTTCGATCAGAGATAGGATATTTCACCTTCGCGGATACACGCGTTCGCGTCCCTTGGTCAATGTTCTAATTGATTTAAAAAGGAACGTTGTTTCGTCGACGATGTACAGGACGATTCAAAAGTGGAGTGAACTTTTGAATCCTCCTGTACAAGAGTGGGGAACGGATTGCTTTTCCTACAAAGTTGCAGAATGTTACTTTTAATTATGTTTTATATCGTAGGTCGGCTGTCACCATTGCAGAGGTGCACACCCGTTGCAAGGGGACCTGCACAAGTCGTTGATCGAGTTCAGAATGGGCACTATCGTGGTGCTCCTGGACGAAAATTATAAGACGTTGATCAGAGAGTTGGCGCAAAAGTTGCCGCAAGGAAGGGATGGCCAGGCGGTCGTTTGGAAGAATATGAAGTGGCAGGCCACGGACGCAGCGCAGCCGGAGAACCTTTTTGTTGTCGCTACGGTTGATCGGCAAGATCTGACAGGTAGGCGGATCTTCTAATTTCTGCATGTAACACCGACAGGTTCCTAACGAACCAGACAATAATTATGCACTCATTAGGAAGATGATAGCGTTCAATTCGTTCAGATTTTGTATTCTACCTTGTTCTGTCGCAGGCTACAGCCGCACAAGAGTGGTGCTGACTCACTGCACGGACTCGGAGCTCCTGGAGGCCGGGTTTCACGGATCACCGGTGATATGCTTCCCCAGGAATGCCTACGAGTCCAAGAACGCGGCTCGAGCGGTGCAGTTCGGTTTCGGGCGGTCCGTGGACGATATCCATGGCATTTCTAGCGAGGAAATAGCAACTACTGTGACCCAGATCCACGAGACGCCCGAGTACCGCGAAAACGCTCGACGTGTCTCTTTGGCCATCCGTGACAGGATAAATCCTTCGGTGGATAGATTGATCTACTGGCTTGGCTACATGGCGCGGACCAAGAACGGGAATCTAGAATTCCTCACGCCAGTGAAACCCGCGAGAACGCCCAACGAGGACCTTCAGTTTTTCCTTGGCCTGCTCGTGGGCAGTATTTTGGGGATTTCCGTGACCGTCTGCGGCACGCTGACGTGGTACCTCCTTGTTTCCAAACGATCCCAAAGATCGAAGGGAAGATACAGGCGGTAGAAGATACCAAAATAAAGAGTAACATTCACGTTGATCGTTCAGACATGTGCTTTCGATATAAAATTAATTAAACCGAAAGTCATCGAATTACACTATCGAAAGATGATATCAGCGTATATGTTTGAGCAACCAATGGTAAAATAAATTTTTAAATAACAAAAAATATTCACGGCTAGAACGACGGAATCCAGGGGGACTGGCGAATTACGGACACTTTTCGCATATGTATTTATATAAATGCACGTAGAGTACAGGTACATACAAATACAAATGTTACGAGCTAGGGTGTGTTTATCTCATTGCTAATGAAGAGATGTAACTATTACGAGAATACTTGATCGTTAAGTTGATTGATTGGAAAAGCTAGAAGTACAGTGTAGCGTTGTGTGGAAAATAAATTACAAATTTGTCAATACTGCGCTCTGTATGTCGTCGTCGTCGTCGTCGTCGCACGAGTGTATCTCGCTCGTGTGCGTTTATCGCTAGATCCTTAAATAACGTACGGGACGAATCGGTTTACCTTAGTTTCACGGGGCTCGACTCGTTTCTTCGTTAAGGCCATGTTTCTCTTAAATCAGATCAGGCGTTGTCAGTGTCGTATCGAGCGATGACAATTGGGCGCCGGTATACAAACTCGCGTATCAGTGTTCGTCGATCATCGTCGGATCGTTGTAAAAAAAAAGAAAAAAAAAGCACGATGCTCGTCGTAGAAAAACTCGTTTATAAGACGGTTATAAAATAAATCGATCTCCGTGTAAAAAAATTGATTGCCGCTTTATCTTTCATCAAGTGACACGTAAAAATCGCGTGCCGCGTGGTTGTATATAAAATGAAACTAATATGGTCGACGGTGTATAAATGGATGATAAAAATTCTCGTACGAAATTGGAAAACATAATTGTATGAGACACGATGAATCCGGACTTCGTAATTGACTAGACTGTGGCTTCAATCGGCTTGGCGTACGCGACGAAACAGTAGCTTCCTCCGCGCCCCTGATCGGGACTTAGGGACATTCCGACTTCGAATCGATCTTACAGAAAATCAATATTTTTTTTTCAACACGATTAAAACTGATTCCTCGAAGGTAGCCTAGCGCTATTAATTTTAACGGCGATTAAGACGACTAAATTTTTTTAAACTGCGTCAGCGCGGTCGATCAATCGGTTTGTGAATAATTAGTCGGGACGCGGCGGTGAAAAAGATCGAGACCTCGTGGCAAACGGCGGGTTCGCGACTCTTTTCCAAAGACACGGATACGAAACACCCATCGGTACTCGCGGCGCCGCGGAAAACGCTGGAGCGATTAACTCTTCGAAGCTCCGGTTTCGTCTTCTCTCGACGCAGCATTCGATGAACACGTAACATTGATCGATCGTGTGTATGCTTATCTATATACAGCGCGACAGTTGTGGACGTAAAATCTACAAAACGGTAAGAAGACAGTATGTACAGTCATTGGCAGTATTGTTCCCGATTCGAGCGAACCGAGACGAACTGCGGGATAAAATACACACTCTCGTGTTAGAAAAATGCTAGCCAGGCGTTTACTTATTCCCACTACGGTTCACAGTCTACCAGCTGCCCCCCTACCATCGCCACGCATTGTCGATTTTGTCGTCTTCAGCCAATAGTGCACACTAGGGGAGCTGGTAGACTGTGAACCCAGAGTAGGGATGTAAACACTGGCTGAGCCTTCTTCTCGCGCGAGGATAGTAAGCACACGTCGCCTCGTATCTCCGCGCGGCCTCCTTTTTCCCTCTTTTCTTTTCGTTTCCTTTTCACTTCGACTCGACGTGGACTCTCGCTCTCGTAGTCCGTCTCGTTCCTCGTAACTCGCATTGTTCGCCGGAACACGGCCGATATAGCGAGTCGTGTACAGTGACGCGCGAAAGTATTCAAACGCTCGACAGTAAAAACTGTCACGAACAGGTTAAGCTGGAATTTACAACCCTTCGCTTAAATTTAAATTTGGCTCCATGCACGATTAACACGTTCACCGCCAAACCTACGAGTCTCGAATCCTGTTCTCAGACATTTGGAAAGTTCATAATCTAAAATTTTTGAGCTATCGTAAATTAGAAATTCTTTTCGTTTCCAAGTGGCAGTCAACGTGTCAAGGTTCCAGGGCCCCCAAGAAAATTTTTTTAACGCTGGTAGTTGCGAAACTTTTATCCTACGAGCTGCACGAGGGTCGCGAACAAACTTGTCGTAAGTCAGGACGGTGTTTCGTAAAGGATTATTATTTTTTTTTTCAATTTAAGAAGTAAAATACGTTTGATTCGTGTAATTATTCTTAGTAAACGTGGGGTCGCGCGGAATACTTTTGCGCGGCACTGTAGTTGCTCCATATTTAGGTGAAGACAAGGTGGTTCTACGCGCTAGAGAGCATTGGTATACAATGAGATACCTACACATCGTGGAGGTCTTTTACTTCGATATAAATAAGACTCTCGCGTCATACGCAAATGTGCGAGCACGAAACGGAAAAAAGAAGAATGGTCGTCGAGTGGCCTAATATTCTCGCCTATGTTACTCTATTTCCATGCTCACGCTCAGCCGCTCGCTTATCCGGACACACGATCTCGTCCACGCGGAAAACACACACACGCACACGCTTCTTCTTCTATCTTTCTCTCGCGTCAGCAAAAACCGCAAATTATTAACATATTGAGTCTCAGTGGGGGGGGGGGCAGAAAGACGGGCGTGACGTGCACGTACAAATTCGCCGTTTCCGCGTCACAAAAGGGAGAACGAACGGCGTTGAGAATTCCTTTCGGGAAAAAGGTTTTCTAGCCTCTCGCCGTCTCACGAGTCGTATTAATAACGCGACGCACGATTTCGCGTCAACAACGTGCTCCAAATCGAATCCAATTCCTGTTACGCGTTTACAAATCATTTTTCCGGTTTCTTTTCGGGGGGAGGGGGGGCGACCTCTTGGCGATCGTAGACAGAGTTCGTCGTCGATCCTCAACATGTTAACATTTACGTAAATAATGGTGCACCTGAGAGCCAGACTAGCATAATAAGCCACGTAACTGCAACTTCACAGACATATTGTACTTGCTATTATGATATTAATACTGAAACAATTCGACACAGTTTTGCGGGGGGGGATTTTTTTACTTCGGAGGTCTCTGTACAGGGTGTCCTTGTTCATCGTGACCACCCTGGACGTCTTTCTCTATCCTCGAGCCGGAGGGAGAGGCGGAGGAATTCGAACGAGCGAACTTCTTCGTCGGGAGGGAAGCTTTTCCAAGGTCACCGTTACACACTTCAAGGTTGCTTCGAAATTTAATTTTAAAAGCTTTATAAAAATTTCCTTCCGGAGCAGCGATGGCAAATCGAAGAAACTCGCGTGTAAAATATTATTAGAATAAATTAATTAGCAGAATAAAATACAAAATATTCACAATTGTAATTACAGACTTTACGTTCGTAAGATCGTTAAACCGAGTCTTGTTCCTCGTCGGATGGTTAAAAAGTAACCAGGCAGCAGAGATTGAAACGTGCAATATTTTCTGGGACACCCAACTATACAAGATGCGGCTGAATAATAAATATACGAGGCGAGAAGCGATTCCTCGTGAGAATGTTATTCAAGATCACGGCTGATCGATGTTCGAGTCTCTTACAAATAATATTATTATAATTTTGATGCTTCTTTTCCTTATTTTCTTCGCAAGGAATCGCCTCCCGCCTTCTCGTTATTCGACCCTTGTCTTTGAATTGAAGAATTGACGCGTAACCTCGAAGAACCGGACCTGTCGATCGCGGGACGTCTCGGTCCCGTCTAGAAAACAGACTCAGCGTAGACATTTGGGGTGGTCAAGTTTGGGACCGCCCCGCAGAGCACAAACACACGCAGATATGTCAATCTAACCGTCTGAAAGCTACGCTTAAAAGTCAACGTTGCCGAAGAGTGGACTTACGACACTCTGACTGTCAGGTACAGAATGTTCTAACGTAACGTGTCACACACTTTGTTAGCCTCTCGCGGCGGTTTTACGGCCCCGCGACTGACCCCCCCGGTGAGAGCCAGCCAGGCCCGGCCATTTAAGGTCGAACTTAAAGCAGCGTTGGTAGAAGCGCGGTCTACCCTCGATCTCCCCAGGCGACGGCCGTGAAGCTGAATCGTCGTCGTCGAATATCTGCCTGGACGCAGAGGCAGAGGGTCGTGAAGCACCTTTCGGTAGGCCGACCGGAATGCACGTCACCGCGCCTAATTGCAGACGTGCTCCTCCCGCGTGTGCCGGCATAGCTCGCACTTCACGTGACAACACCAGACGAACCGACACCCGCACTTCTCGGTCACGTCTCGGACTCTCGTCTGGTAGCCCCGGCCGCAGCACAGCAGTCTACATCCGTCCAGGCCCATGGACGTTCGGTTGCATATCCTTCCTCTCGTGCCGGGTATACCGAGCCTGAAAACCACGGATTCCCACTTACTCAACGTTGCTACCACCATCAAACTAATTTCTACGTTCATCGGATGCGATCAACCCTTTGGGACACCAAGGTACAGCAATGATTTTTAAAATGAAAGCTTCAGATAGCTCTCACTGGCTCCAAGGAAATTTCCCCAGATGGGAGGTACAGAGACGGTCAACTTACATATCACAACTGGTGGTCACTTTAACGCTAGATCTACCAAAGCAGTCAAACCGACCCATAAGTAATTTCTAATAAAACTTTACTCGCCTGTAGAACGTTAATCTGTGAACAGCTGCGTGCAAGCGACAGTGGTTCTCATTCAGGTTGAGAGACTACTCACTGACTTATCGACAGAGCACGTAGCTGTATGCAGGTTGCCGTCTCACAGGGGCCAACTTCAAACGTTAATAACTTTACAACGAAGCTTCTATCGACAAATTGCTATTCTTCATTTTCATTTTATTTTGGCCTCTAGAATCTCCCATTAAAATTTTATCCACGACTGGTGGTTTTAATTTCTTTGATACGAATAAATACACCATAATAATAATTGTCGCCAGTTTTAGTGGTAAGAATCATTGCTGTAACCACGAAGAGTCGAGGATCGTGAAGAAAGCAGGGAAACCCCCTGTCACGAGTGGAGGAGAGATTTGGGAGTGGAATATCTAAACGGCGGAGGATCGAAAGGACATCCTACGTGAGATTTTTCTCGCAGTAATCGGGACTGTCTTCGAGGTACACCAGGTCCGTTTTGTTCGGCCGTTTGAGATCGGGACGAGCGGGCCACAGCCTCGCCGCTCTTCTTCCGCCGCGTTGCGCCAGTCGTACCAGTGCTGCGCCTTCGTGCAGCGCCGCCAGTGCAGCGCCCGCCACCCTAAACGTAGGCAATCTTCTCCAACAGACGCGCACGCTGCACGAGCCAGACATACCTACGGGGGCACGAAATTACGCTCGGATCAATTTCTATGAAAATATGAACGTCGATCGATAACATAACCCCCGGCTACTCGCGTACCGAGTACACAACGAGAGTCCTACAGCTATTTTTCTGCGACCATTTTACAAACTAGACAATTTCAAGCTAAAACACTTCTTACTCGACCAAAATTACCATCGATTCGGAGATTAAATTTTCAGAGCTTTGGAGTTCGCTAAATTCGACGTTTCGTATGCACCTAACACTCTGCTCAAATGTAAGAATTGTAGCGTAACTTAGAGTAACGTAGAGTTATCGATCAACGTATAATAGTTTCTCCCGGATAAGTGGACCAAGCTCTTCAGATCCGTACGGGTCCGTGGAATGTATCCGTCCGTGGATCCTGTACGGATCGAGCAAGGGTAGACAAAGGGGATAGATGATAATCCTAAGTCCTCGAGGCGGGCAGAATGAAAAATAAGACCGCGGACAGCGACCCGGCGGTTATCTGTGGAACGCATTAATGGCTCACCGTGACACTTGCACACGCGTTGCATTCTCGAGCGGACGGCACGCCTGCCAGCTTCGCTATCGTGCTTCCTCATCAGCTGGCCAGCCAGCCCTTTCGGTCCTTGCAGGACACCCTCCTTCACAGGCTCCTCGCCGCTGTCGGACCACTCTCGCGAAAACTTCTCACCGAAGTGGATGTCCTGTGGATGCACAAAGAACGGTTCGCGTGATCTACGAGCCAACGATCGCTTCAAGAATGCCTTAAACTTTTCGGGCCCTTTCAAGTCCCGAAAATAATTGTTACAGAACCGTTCTTGCAGCTGTTATTTATTTTTAGGGAAATCTCGGATATTAAATCGCTTTTTAACGCCTCTGACGCTTCTCGACGGAGTTCGAAAGCCAAGAGTAAATCTCCGTCCAAATTACCAGGATCTACGAGACCGAAACGATGCTCATTTTCCGATCGGTACGGTTGCAGGAATTCCGAGATCGCTATCGATAGGTATAAAGATTATTCTACCGCACCTGAACAGCGAAACGTACTTTGTTGACCGGCATTCGAGGCCCCGCCGAGAAGCGTTAAACGAGATCTCCCGGCTTAAGAGGATTTCCTAGTGAAAAAAATGCTTTTTTTTACGTTCTAAAAATCCAAGGAAAATATGGTTTGTGAAACAATCTTTCCAAAATTCTTTTCTACGACTAAAAATAACGAACGACGAATACATCCTTTTATCCAAGGAAAACAAATCCAGGACCAAGGAGGTTAAACCTGACCCGGGTCGCCGGGCGCGAGAGAGTCGGCAAACATCATTATCTGGGAAATCTGTCAGCGTGCCCGACCGTGACATTTGTCCCACGGGATCAGCCTAGTTAAGGAGTCTTCCTGGCAATGGTGGATACAGGAGGGGGTGGAAGGTTGCAGGAGCTCCACAACCACCCCCACCTGCACATCAATTCTATTCGTAGTCTAAACTTTACTTTTTAACAAGAATTAAATAATTAGAATTACGAACCATACATTTTAATCTCCGACTTATTCAAAGCAACGGACATTTTCTAAAAGTTACTCTGTGTGATTATGCAATTTAATAAATTATATAAATGGCTAAAGACGAAAGATTTTCCTCTGTCTGCCACGTGAGTTTCTCGGGCACGTGTTGTGGTCTCCTTTTCTTCCCCCTTTCGACTCCCCACCTGGTTCCCCATCTCTTCCGTGTTGTCTTTTCTCACGCTCTCTTCTTGTTCCTCCACACGCTCACCTTTCTTCTTTTTTCTCCGGTTTTTTTTTCTGCTCCTTCACTCTTCGTTGGCCAATAGACCTATTTCTTCGACTCGAACTTCTCTCTACGTATTCTGAACATTTTCTGGCTGTATTCCACCAACGACACGAACGATTTTCCATGAAAAATACGATTCCTCGATGAGTTTCGTTGGAATTATATTCTTTTTCTTACTGTTAGAGAATCGATGATGGCGGTCATCGATACGAACATATTGTTTTGTTTTTCTGTTGTTGTGCAGTCCAAATATGTCTCCCTGAGAGTACGCATCGCCTTTGTATGCACACGTGTTTAATTTACTTCTAAATATACGTTTATATTGAACAATTATTATGTGCCAAGCTCATTACAAAACCCCAACACTTACTTTCTACGTTATTTTTTATAAATTCTTCTTTTACTGGCACGTTTATTATTCTTCTTGGATCTTTTCCTCCGACAAGTTCCTCGTCCCGTCGTCGTTTCACCTCCACCCCGCGCGTGCACTGGGTATTTACGTTCGTGTGCATCGCTCACGTGCGAGTTGCGTGGCCGATATGTCCGGGCGGCCGGGATGGGTGGGGTGGGCGGGTTGTTGCAACTTAACAAGCTTAGCTCCCTTAATCCCCTTGTAAGCTAGCAATGTCTACAAGGGGTCAGCCGTACGCATGAAATGCATCCGTTTACAGGACGAGCTTTGTCTTCGTCCAGGGTTAAGGTTTACGTCGACCGACCGTGGAGAGAGAGATCGAGACGACAAATTGGGGATGCCAACGCGGGGGCAAGTGCTTCACGTGTACACGCTTAAGAAGGTTGGCTAAGTAAAAACAAACCAGGAAGAATTCGAATCTCGTTTCATTGTTCTTTCTCTCTCCAACTTTTTCCCAATGTCCAAAGGGACGCCATCTTCTTCTTAGATAATCGAATCTTAACCGTGCAAATTTCAGATCTGGCTTTGAGACCCTTACTGACGTCAATTCTTCATAAATAATAATAGAAAATTGTACGAACTTCTTTTTGTTTTTATACGAACTTTTTCCACCACCAATAACCCCAATAACCGATATAATTTTTCTCCGTTTTGGTTGTGAGACCGTCTGACGCGAGCACGTTGAAACGCAAAGCAGAAACGAGGAGGGAGAAGCTTGTCTGGCATGAACAGTTTCTGAGAAAAAGGTACTCGTGTCCGTTCTCTGTATCGGCGAGGGGTTGTCCTGTCCCCTTAACCCTGTATACGCGCAACGCAAAGAAACGGATATTGTTACGTCGTTCGGTTCTCCTTCCAACCCCCCCCTTCCGGCGGCCGGTGGCGAGAAAGGGTGAATATAATCGTCGTTTGTCGACGGAACGGAATTTCATTAATTTCGCGACCGCGGAAGCACAACGACCTGGGATTGATTTACGATCGACGAAGAAATTGATTAAGAAATTCGCGCCTTCCGGTTTACGCGCGTTCCCGGAGTTTCCACCGACGTTCGTCGCGAAATTGAAATCCCTGGCCACGGAGAGGTTCCCCCGTCGCTGGTAATTGACCCGTCTGCGACTGTGGGCGTTTAATTAACAGCCGTTGCGTAAGAACTCCAAGAATTTCCGGAGGGAAACGTATCGGTTTCGTACGTCCAGATGTACCCGTAAATCGGGGGGTGGTTGTCCGTTGAAGGGTTTTAGGAACGACTGTAGAACGACGGGGGCGGTTTTTCGAATGCTTTTGCAATAGAAATAGGGTGGAAGACCTGATTACTGTCACCTCAGTGATCAACCCCCCCACTACTGTACATTTATTACTTTTCTATTTATTGTAATTAATACGATCACCCAAATATTTTTATTTTTTTTTATGCAGGGTGTTTGGTCACCTCTGGGGAAAAATTTAATGCAAGATTTTAAAATCAAGAATACCGATTTGTTGATTGGGATGCCTCACATTAGATTTTCGGTAAGGAATTTTTTCCTCGATAGTGCGTAGGATTTCGGGGGTACGTCTATCCACCAAAAATACTTGCAATTGACCCCTGCAACTGAAAATAATTTTTCCAAATCGATTCGAAATTTTTTAATTTTCTCGAAAAGTTTCACACATTCTCGAATTTTTTTCTCGAAAATGGGTAGAATTTCAGATCTATGTCTATTCACCAAAAATGATTGTAATCGACCCTTGCAACGGAAAATAATTTTTCCAGAACGATTTGAAATATTTTAATTTTGTCGAAAAATTTCACACCTTCTCGAATGTTTTCCTTAAACGTGGCTAGGATTTCGAGGATATGTCTAATGACTAAAAATTATTGTGAGTGACCCCCACAAACGAAAATAATTTTTTTAGAACGATTTGACAAAAATTTTTTTTCACCGAAAATTCCAGCACCTACCCCCTGTCGATTTTTCGTAAAATTCGTTTTTCATTTTTAGTAATTTTGTTTGACGTGCTACGGAAAAATTGCCTAATACTTTTCTATAGGTACGAATGAGCTTTACTTCAGACAAAAGTTTCATTGAAATTTATTCATTATTGTAAGAGTTATGGCTGTTTGAAAATTGAACCATTTTTTATGCTTATTTGAACTATTTTCTTATTTTGCGGTGTTAAGGACCAACTTTTCGAATATTGTTAGCATTTCTATATATTCTTGATTAAAATACACGTTGTTTGCCGTTTGAAACATTAAAATCGGCCAATCCGTTCAGGAGTTATGACATTTTAAAGATTCGCATAAAATTTCAGGGAAGCCTCACATTGGATTTTCGGTAATGATTTTTTTTCTCGAAAATGTGTAGGATTTCGGGGGTATGTGTATTGACCAAAAATGATTATAATTGACGCCCGTAACCGAAAATAATTTTTCCAAATCGATTTAAAATTTTTTAATTTTCTCGAAAAATTTCACACCTTCTCGAATTTTTTTCTTGAATGTGGCTAGGATTTCGAGCGTATGTCAAATAACCAAAAATTATTGTAATTAACCCCCGTAACCGAAAATAATTTTTTTAGAACGATTTGAAATTTTTTAATTTTGTCGAAAAGTTCCACATCTATTCGAATTTTTTTCTCAAAAATACATAGGATTTCGAATGTATGGCTATTCACCAAAAATGATTGTAATTGACCCCTGCAACTAAAAATAATTTTTCCAGAACGATTTGAAATTTTTTAATTTTGTCGAAAAATTTCCCAGTCGGTATGACAGATTGGGCCACGAAAGTCCACAAGGTGTAAGATCTACTCGCATACCTCGTCTGTGGTGAGAACCACTATCTCACGCACGCAACTGTTCGCAGGTTGCCTATCTACAGGCGTAATTTAAAAAATTAATAACCTTTTAACGGAAGTCTCAATCAATAAATTGTCATTCTTGATTTTCGTCTTGTTTTGAGCTCCAGAATCGCTCGTTAAAATTTTCCCCGGGTCCAAGCACCCTGTATATTTTTAAACCCCCCAAAAATGCGAAAAAGTGCCGGAGATAAACGTTGCAAATTCGAGTGGAAAAGGTGTTGCGCGGATCCGTAGCAAGAAATTTGCAAAGAAGGCGAAAAGAAAAGAGAAACGCGTTTCACACTAGGAGACGCCCTTAATTAATAGCCGAGCGTCGGATCCAGGAAGGAGACGGTCGTAGGAAAGTAAGCGGTAAAGAAGAAAGTAATCCTAATTTACGGTCGGCAGTTAGTCGCGTCTTATTTTTCAAAGGACAAGGGAATACAAATAAAGGGTGAAATTACCTCGCTGCAGCCACCCCATTGCCAATTATTCGGGCGGCGTGTTCTGACACGGTTGTCGCAGGAGCAATCGGTGAGCTCGCCCCTGGAACAGGCCCTCGTGACGCTGTAAGCAACTCCGGCCGCTGATATTGCGTAGACGAACGCCGCCTCGCGACTGTCTGCGAACATGCAACAGAAATTTTTTTTCCCGCTGCGGAGAAGTTTTTTCATTTCACTTCCAAGGCTGCCCGTCGCGATTACGCGAAACGACGAGCGCGCCAGCCATCTTCCTTATTTTTTTTTCCCAAGGAATTAAATTTAATTAAAATTATCTCGGACTCGGGAGACGCGAGGGTAACCCAATCTTGATAACGCAATTTGATGCGCACGATTGTTATATCAAATTAAACATCGGGTTCGATTCGTGGGAATACAAACCACGGAGGAATTTAAATGGACGCGACAAAATTTTATCTCGAATTTTATCGTCGAACGTCGTTTGGTAAATTTTTAATCAACGTTTGAGGATCGTTTCTAATATTCTGCAATTTTATTTATTTTGTTCAGATAAATTTTGGTCTCTCAACAATTTTCTTGAAGGGAATCACGTTTTTAAGATTCGAGGCAAACCTTTTTTCAATATCAAAATAATTGCGTACGTTTACTGGGTACATGGAAACCCTCGTTGCGCAGTCATTGGATGCCTGTTCGGTTATGGACAGCTGCGTTCACGCACTTGACCGGGTAATTGAAAAAGAAAGCGTATTAACGCGGAACACGTTAAATTGCAGTAATGCAGCCGAGTATGTTTTCTGCTGGAAGTTAACGATTGTTAAATACAATAAATCCGTGATTGCACCTGCGTTTAATTAGTTCCTGCATTCGATCGAATAATTTCGAATTTACGCAACATCTGCTCTTATCGAAGATATTTCGCCTCGAATCTGTCTTTTCACGTCGAGCAGCCGTTCCCGTGGTTGAGCTTTTACTTACTGACTAGCATCACGCCGCCGAAAACGTTCTCCGGATTTTCCGGGCTGATGGAACAATTCCATCTCGCTGATCTAAACTGGTGCTGACACTCCTCTATGGCCAATCTCGCGCCAGCGCTGACTGCCTGAAAGTAAACACCGTGAAAGGAAAACCGAATGGCAGGTAGTAGCCTACGGAGCACCCGGGGATTTCCCCTTGTTAGCACGTTTTCACCGCTCGCGTCGCGAAACAGACGATACCGAACGTAGCACGCGTCATGCCGCGTCCACAATTACCGGCTTCGTGCATCTAATAGCAGATCGCGGTTTAATTGGATCGTGTGTCGGGAAGCAATTATAATATGTAATCGAGTTTCTACCAGCGGCACAATTATGCTAATGGAGTTATTTCGAATCAACGTTATCTCGATCCATTAATATTAAGAGCGGCGTTCATTGTCAAATTTTCTAGATGTTTCGAACAGATACCGTGGATCTAGTATTAGCGACATCTATCCCAGATGCCTGAAAGAGGATTGGAGAAAGAAAATACTATTTCGTAAAAGCGTTAGTGGATTTCAGTAGCCACGCATAACCTATCACAGACATTGAATCACTCGGCGTACCAAATTCATAATCCATCTTGCAGACAATCGTATCGACAGTCAATTTGTAACACGTACCGAACGTTTAACGCATAATTTGTAACACATGCAGAGTCGTACGTCGCACATAATCTATTCCACGCCGCCATATCTGATCGTACACTTGGCACTTTGGCCACCGGTGGCGGTTTGAGCCTAACCTAGCGGGAATATACGCGCTTTTTCTTACACGTACTACATTGTTCACTTTCTGTTATTACAGGGTAATTAAAGCTAGCATTTTTTTATTTTTTTGATAATCAATTAACAGATTGCCTTATTGGTTCGTAAGCATTGGCGGCAGAGAGCCGATTAATAAGCTACCGGTCGGTAAAGTGTAAAAAGTGGCGCTCAAATCGCACCGTACACTTAACCTCCACATCCACCGAACAACGTACGTACTCGTAATCTATCTTTCATATACATACACACACGCAATTGGGAAAGACGAATACAAAGCAGCTAGGAAAGCTGACGTAGAAGGTGCTGCGAAAGAACACCATTCCAAAGCGCCAAACACGGAACTGCACACATCGTTGGAGCATCCAGGAACGTCCGAACGAAGCATTCTCACGTTCTCGCGGAGGAACGGGGTCAATAAGATTCTGATTCCCGGTTTCCCGACGAAAGAAAGGAGGGAACCGTGGTCCGGGACAAGGTGAAATTTCAACGTCGACGCGACATAAATCGGCGCGGGGTCGCGTAGCGGTTCCCCGAGGATGTTCTTTCGTTCCCCCCACGCGTATATCCGGTTCGATCCGTTCGGATATTAAAGCTCTCGATGCTCCCCAGCGTCGGGGCGTTTATGAATATTCATGGCCAGGGTTCTTTTGTCGGTAACCCGGACTCGGAAAACCGAGACTGTCGGCGACGTTCAAAGGGATATCGGTGGTCCCGGGGCTCGAGTTTACCTAGGCACCGGTTTCTAGACGAGGCCCGCGAGCCCAGGCCCTTCCATCGACAAGATTTGTGCATTAGGGAAAGGCAAACGCGATTTTCGGGACCGTCGGCTCCGGAGTCCGCGTTGCTTTCGTAAGCACACTAGCGCCAAAGACGAATTGCCAACGTAACGCACCGTTCGACGCAATGTCCCGGCGTCGGTGACTTTTTTTAATCAGTTCCAGCATCTGGAATCGACTAGCGTTGTCTCGAATTCTTTTTTGTATAATAAACGATTGTTCAAATTACATCCTGCCTTGTAATTACTAGATTTAAGTCCTACGGAGAATTTATTCGATTCACTACGTCGAAGCATTCAAAAAATTTCCCTAGTATATAATAATCAATAAGGACTTTCCCTAGATCCTTTCACGGAAGAACGGACCGCGGAGAGTATCTACCGGTTATTTAGCGAATCAGGGTGTCTCGAGTGGATGTATACCGTTCGCATAACCTCTTTACTCGCGCCGCGAGAGATTTTGTATCAAGTGTCGCGGAACGAAGTGGTTTCAAGGAGAATCTCGAAGCATGTAGGAAGTCCGAGTCATGTGGGTTTATGTAAATATGTTTCTGCGACGGAACACTCGGGACGAGCAATGTTTCTTTCTTGAGAGCACAATTTGCGTTTATACCGTGGTGGCGAGCACTTCGCTCGAGTATTGATTTTGGATCAAGCAACACGAAGTGGTACAAGGAGAAACTTGATGCAAGTAGGAGGATCGGAATTGACTCTCTGTAGTTGGCGAGATCGCGCGACTCTGTGTTAGTGTGTCTTTATTACTTCTCGAGCACTATAGCGGACCGCCGCATTCTTGTCATCGATTCATTTGCGCTGCCCATAAAGCGCGTCCGCGCCGCCATTTTTAACGGACCGTTGACTAGATAACTATCTCCGCTATTCGATACTCGCCATAAAATAAGTTTCTTTCGACCATCGAGAGCTTTGTTCCTCGGTGTACCGGACCACTCGACAAATATATTTCTTTACTTCTAAATTATAGGCCGGTCACCGGTGACCGCCACTTTCGAGGCGTTCAGAGGTTATGGCGCCCAATTTTTTAAACGAAATACCGTGAAACAATGGTGAAATATCGACGTTGTTGGTTTTCAGGGACTATTTAGCGGGGATCCCCCATTCTCGATCCGGGATCGCGGAATTCGCGATTTCAATTTCCCCGGCAGCCGTGTGTCTCGAAAAAGGAGGTCGCGCAGGGTTCACTGAAGGCCCCCCGACTGTTGCAGAGCCGGAGTATTAAATATTGCACGCGCGGCAAACGAAAGCTACAACTCGAGCTTGGCATTCCGGGAGTTCTTTAGAATCGTGCGAATCCAGCCAGTGCCCTCGCACCGAGCCACCTTAAAGGGACGGTCAATTTTCCGTCGCGATCCGTGAATCGCTTTAACAACTCGAACGCGCAACGAGAATCCCTTTTCTTTGTACTTCCTGGATATTTAATATTTGTTCTTACGATGGACGCTATAGTTCCTAGAAATGCAATTCCAACACGTAGCTATATTTTTGACAAACAAAAAAACCCTGTAATCTTTTCTTTTCGAAATACGAACCTACACGTTACAAGTGAATAAAGTTTCACGTGAAAAAATTGATTTCTTTCAGAATTTTTTGTCCACGAAAGTATGGACGCGAGGCATCCGGGAAACGAATAGTTCGCGGGATATTTCGAATCCCATAACACGTTTATGCTCTCTTCGCGGCGATGTCGAAACTTTCCAACGTCGTCGTAACACACATTTTACGACCTGTTTCTTTGCATTTTTCGTTAGAGAATTATACACTGAAACAATTTACTCGTGCTCCAGCGTGGCACAAAAATCCGAGGGATCCTCGTCGGACGAACTACGCCGGAGGAACAGTACGGGACAGGTATACAGAGAGAAGCTCGAAACGTGAAATATCGCGCGAGTTATGCATTCTTTGAATACCGCGCGCCAACACTCTCTCGAGCGTGGTATTTAAAAATCGATTTACATCGAGTTATAGAGTCCTAGTAACCTTATCGACGCCGGTGCTCTTCTACGGATCGTGGACATTTGTTTATCGGTGTGCCATAAATATTCCTATTTGATATACGGTTCGGACACGAGGAAATCACATAACGCGTCACGCTCTGATTTCAGCCAGGCTCCGACGCTTGGAATATCCGATCGAAAACTATTTCTTTTTCTATTTCACCGCGATATAAATTGTCCGCCGTAACGAAACCGAATTTTTAACAATCTCCTCGAAAAAGAGACTAACTCGCGTTTGAAATATTCCACGCCCGGGTGTTCCCCCGTCCAAAGACGTACGACCTGTCTCTGTCGCGCGATTCGCCCAGTATCGCGAAGGTATGCGCGGGAAAAGCTCATCGGGCGCATAAAGGGGAAGAAAAATGGAAACGATTCGTCGTCGTCGTGGTCGTGGTCGTCGTCGAAGAAGAAGAAGCGGCATCGAGCGTTAAAGCGACCGCGCAGGAGACTCGGCTCGAAAAATTACACCGACAAAGTTTATACGCCGACTCTCTCTCTCGTCTCGTTTCTCGTTTCTCGTTCCTTCTTTCTCTCGCTACCAGACACTCCTCTATCCCTTTCTCACTCTCTCTCTCTCTCTCTCTCGCTCTGTCGGTTTCTTTGTTGCTCCGAGGCGTAGGTCTCGTGAATCGAATTAGCCGCGTGCTTCCCCGGGCATTAATCCGAGAGGTTCTTCGGCCCCTGCCGCGAGGTAAATACCTGCAGGACGGGTGGCGAGCGGGAGCATATAGCCTGCTGCTTGGCGGTCAGGTGCACGCTCTTGCAGTTCTTTTCGGCGCTCGCCGGCCCGATCACACCCGCGCCGACGATCTGTGCCTGTCCGTCGGCACCGCTGCTCTGACCCGATCCGCTATTCAGCCGCGGCTCCACGCCCAGGTACCTGAAACAATCCCGGAAGCAGCCCGTTATTATCCACCCTTCGACCATCTTGCAATCAACCCCCCTCTACAAGATAAGATTAACACTACGACTACCGACAATTACGGTGCATCCATTTGTACCAGAAAAACTGTAACGATAGATATTCGTACTGTTATACAAAATGACGCTTCTACTTGGTAATGATTCTTAAGATGAACGTTACTCAGAGGGTGTTCATTGTTCGTATAGCCGGAGGCTGCGTGTTAGAAAATGTCCTCTGTCGTGTTTTAAATGTCTTTCGTGCTTCACTGGGGGGTTCTTGGGAGGGATACGAATGTACAATTTACGAATCATGTTCATTTTAAGAATCATTACCACAACACGGTAAGGAAAATGTGGAAGGTCGAGGCAGCATAGAAAAACGTCTATCACGCTTCACTGAGGGGTTCTTGGGAGAGATGCAAACGTTCAATTTACGAATCATGTTCATTTTAAGAATCATTACCGCAACACAATAAAGAAAATGTAGAAAAACTATCACGCTTCACTGGGGGGTTCTTGGGAGGGATACAAACGTTCAATTTATGAATCATGTTCATTTTAAGAATCATTACCGCAACACAGTAAAGAAAATGTAGAAAAACGTCTATCGCGCTACACTGGGGGGTTCTTGGGAGGGATACGAATGTTCAATTTGCGAATCATGTTCATTTTAAGAATCATTACCGCAACATGGTAAGGAAAACGTGGAAGGATCGAGGCAGCATAGAAAAACGTTTTTTATCACGCTTCACTTTGGAGGGATACGGACGTTCAATTTACGAATCATTACCATAGCACAGTAAACAAATGTGAATCGAGACAGCACAGAGAAATATTGTGAAACTAAAATTACCAAACGTAATAAATATCGTGTGATTCGTAGTTGTGGAACGTAAGTAACGGAGAAAGCGCGTCGAATGAAACGATCCCCGCGAAGCTCGACGAGTTCACGGGTGGTCGGGGGCCGCTAGAAAGTCAAATGGTGGTTCGATTATCGAATTTATTTGATGCCAGCCGGATAATAAGCACCTGCGTGAGCAAAAACCCGTACTCTTCGTATCCGTATCGACGGACTGCGCGAAAATATTGGCCCCGATCGCCACCCCTCGGTGAGAGCTCGCTTCCTTGGCTTTTCTCCTGTCGTTGGTCGAACGGATACCAGTTCGCGGCTACACGGCTTCCCCGATCCCCCTCCCACGACCCTCCGCCAACAGTCCCTTCGTTCCACTACGCCGCCATCGCTTACCCTAGCTTGCCCTTCGTCCTTTTCCCCTCTATAATTTTCACTCGAATACCTGCTCTAATTATAGGTGGTTCGTCACGCCGAAAGTTCCTTCTGCCCCGTGATCCTCGGTAGCCGAACGCGCTCCACGAACGAGCACCGTGTTTTGTTCTCGAAATATATTTCGACACGAGATTGCTTATCCGTCACCGATGCTCGCGACCTCTATTATTCATTTATTCATTTAAACGCGAGAATTATTTGACATTTTCAGGGGCGACTGAATGAACAATATTTGGGTTAGGTTAGGTTAGGTTCCGGAGGAAAATATTTGGAATCCAATAAAAAAGGGGCAGGGAAACTAAACGCAATTTCCAATTGTCTCCTAAATTCGATGTGTTAAATTGTAGTTGGCGGGCCGAGTGGAACGATCGTCAGAGTCGACTATAAAAGGGATACGAAACGAGTCGAGAGAGGCGCGCCGTCCTCGTCCGCCTGTTACTAATCGGCGTCGTCGCTCTAAAAAGCGGCCGCATCATTTTATATTATTTTCGAAGAGGGGTCCGGACGGCAGCCATGTCCGGACATAGGTAGCGCCCGTTTAGGCGGTAAATCTTAATGAGAATCAAGGGTGTGGCCTTGGCTGTCTCGAAAACGATGATTGCAACCCCGTGGGCAACGCTTGGAACGATCGTCGCCCATCAACAACCTACACGTACGACACCCGGCGCTGTAGAAAGAAAGCCACCAGTCCCCCCATCCCCTGCCATCTAGATGGGCCCACAAGATTCCTAATGCAAACTTGAACAGTTTTTAAACTGTTCTCGGCCGGGGACCCTTTCTTTCGACGCGTCCGGACATTTTCGACTGACAATTCGCGACGTCTGTATCAGATCTCTACGGTTCACTTTCACATCCTCCGTTATTTCTAATTGCTATGAGAGATACTATCCCGCGCTAAATCCAGAAATAACAGTCTCGAGGAGCGTAAACAAAGGAACCACACGACTAGAAACGTTAACGTCGATATCTGCCACGGTTACCAAGCTCGTTTTATGAAACCCAATCTCGCCGACGAGACGCTGTTTACTAACACCTTTCGAGTAACACTGCGGTTTCAAAACAAACGAATGGGACTGCAGCCCGGAACGAGACGTCCTTCAACGCTCGCTGCACCGCGGCTCCAACCACGCTCTATGGAGGCTAATCCGTCGACGGCTGGCACCGTTTCGTCCACAAAAGATTCGACTTGCACGGACCACGGCGAGGATTGATGCTCACCGCGCGTTCAAAGGACGGGACGGTGGACGCCGTGATTTACCGCCAAAAGTTCGTTCCTTGGCGAGGATACTCGATAACCTTGTCGTTGTAGAATAAAACACAGTGGGAATAATTATGTAGGATCACTGTTGTAGTTTTCGGTTTATTATAAGTAAATATATGGACACTGTTGTACAAAGAGTCGCTGTTGTGTTTACAACTCGGCTGACGAGACGAAAGTGAGGAAGAGTACAGAGCCGGAAATCGGAATCGTGTAATAACGCAAAAGGTCACGTGACACATTACTAAGAGACGTCACGATTAGTATGATTTACAACAATCACTTGCATCGATGTTACGGTCAGAGATACTTGGATCTCAAGATGGCGTCTAACAAAATTCGATTTATTGTCACGACTCTTACGCTTCGATGCTGGTAAAGCTCACGATTAGTGTGATTTACAACAATCACTTGCATCGATGTTACGGTCAGATAGCTGGATCTCAAGATGGCGTCTAACGCAATTCGATTTATTGTCGCGACTCTTATGTTTCGAGGGTGGTAAAGCTACCAGGATGACCGGATCTACGAATTTTCACCGTCTTTTGAAAGAGAACTCGATCTCACGGTGGCGAAACGTTGAAAATACGTGGCTCGAGGTCGTCTTTAGCCGCGCCTCGCGATCGTGGTCCTGTCCCGCGAGGAAATGGCGTGAGTCATCTAACGAGACCGAGTCGGCTATCAGGTACGGGCTTCGTGGCAGCGGCGTAGGACCGTTTATTATTTGTTTGCGACCGGGGTCGGCTCTTCGACTTCGCTCTGACTCGTTCCTAGCTATTTCGGGGTTTGTTTGGCCACGGTTTACGGCTCTCTCTTCCGCGATGAGGGCCGTTTTACCAGCGCGTAGATCCTCCTCGAGCCCGGGGGGGGGACACCACGGGTGTTATCTTGTGTACTTCCAACCGAATGTCGTGGCCCGGGGAACACCGAGGATTAGCCGCCATCGACGTCGGGGCGTTCGCGACACACCGGGAGAACTTTTGCGCTGATCGTGCACGATTATCCCTACCCCCCCTACCCGGTGAACCGATGTTTACGATAGGGCTGAGCCTCTGGTCAAACGGCCGACTTTGCCCTGGCCCTGGCCACTAAACGCGTTGATTGCAATATTGCAATCAATACCGTATCGATGGAAAGGGTGACGAGTGCTCGATCAACCTTTAAGCGGCGCAAAGGCGTCGAGGGTTCAACGATTAACTTGGTCAAGGTCGACCACGCATAGAAGCCCACGATCAATTTTAATAATTTAACACATGGCGCCAACAACAATTTTTTTATCATGCCATAATATTATTTACAGCGGCTAAAGTCACCGGTCACCTTCGAAGCGCTGTAGATCGGTTTTGCGATGTATTTAGTGAAATGTTTCGATGACGAAGTTTGCATTTAAAAAATTGTGTCGTCCATATTGGTTCACCTTTTCTTTGCCCAGAGTGTCTCAATGTACCTCGTATTATATGTTAATAAAATTATTTTTGTATGTTCTATGTGGCATTGATATCTTCGAACCATTATAGTAACGATGGCATTATTGAAAAAATTATCGGTATTGTTATTTATTCTAATTATGTAGTTTTGCTTAATTAATATCTTCGAACCATTATAGTAATATATATAGATGGCATTATTGAAAAAATTATCGGTATTGTTATTTACTCTAATTACATAGTTTTACTATTGGGCGCATCGCCGGTCACCGGTGACCCCCATGACGCTGTAATCGAATCGAGTGCCGGTCACCGGTGACCGTCACGGGAGTCAACGTGTTGAGCATGGTCGAATAAATTGTATTACGTCCAGGGGTAACCCTAAGGTCACCGAGCATCGTTAACGATGTCCCGTCACCGGAATCGAATCTTGGACGAACGAAACCGAGTAGCCCCCGCAGGAAGTCGACGGTCCCGCTAGATAAGGGTAGGTGGGGGGTGGAGGAGGGCAGAAAGAGAGTCGAGCTTACTCGCGGAGGGCAAGACCTCGGGCAAGGGTAAGTCGAGACGGTTAGGGAATAAGGCGAACCGTGTCGTCGGCGATGAAGATGGGAGAATGGAACAGGAAACGGGAGCAAGAGGGACAAAGTCGAAGGGGGAGGCAACGAGGGGAATAATAATTCGACAAAGCGCCCGGCGGGAAAGAAAGAAATCCATATTCAGAATCCGATGATGTATCCCGGGGGGGGGTCGCGGGAGGGCTCTCGGCTGGCTCTCGATTCAAAAGGGAGGAAAAGAAGAGGGAGAAGGAGGCCAGATAGAGGGAGAGAGAGAGGGGGCTCCTTTTGCCTTTATCATCGGCGAGACCGGCGACGATTATTATTATTATTATTATTATTATTAGGAGAGGTATCGCGTTGCCGTCATAACCACGTCGGCCCGCGGCTTTTGTCCACGTGACAGCGATAGGGCCCATTTACGTCGAGAAACACTCACCGCCGACATCA